AAGCTGAAGTCAACTACTACGCCAACCAGGTGCGCTTCATCACAGAGAAGAAGGAAGGAATGATCGACTTTGAAAATGTTACACTTAATTCGCTGATCATTGAGCTTCGCCGCCGTGGCTACGACAGCAATCCTGTTGATCAATTTAACGAAAAAGGTAACATTAAAACAAAAAATTTTTGTTAAAATTCTAATAGCCAATTTACTTTTCAGCAAGTGATTACTCGTACTTATTAAGTCTTCCCATAAGTTCATTTTCAGAAGATGGTTTTGAAGCACTCATCAAAACAAGAGATGGAAAACGTGAAAAATTGTCTCAACATCGTCAAATCACACCAGAACGAATGTGGATTAGGGATTTGATGAAATTCATTCAAAAGTTCAAAGAAGAAGAAGAAGAGGAAAATAACTTAATGAACTCGCTGCTTCAACCTGACCATTTACCGGCTGAAAATGGAGAGAAAATTGAACCAGAAACTTTGACTGAAAAACAAGTTAACAAGCATCTAGGACTGGCTGATACCAGATGGACTAATAATGAAGTGCGTAAGTACAAAAGGCGCACAAGTCAAGTTTACCGCGAAAAGAAACAAGAATACGAACGCATGTACCGTGAAAAGCACTCAGATCGTGTTCGGGAAGCTAAGCGCAAATACGCGGAAAAAACTCGAGAACAGAAACGAAAAAAAGAACTTGAACGTTATTACAAGAATAGAGAGGCCATTCTGGAGAAGCGACGCAAAACACTGGATCCTGAAAAAGTGCGAGAATACAATCAAAAGTACCTTGAAGAAAATTTCGCTGAAATTCGCGAAAAGCAGCGCATCTATCGTGAAAAGAACCGAGATCGCATCAACGCTCAACAAAAACGCCGTTATCATGAAGCAAAAGGCCAGAAAAAATAACTTCTTCAGTCAGCTCTATTTCATAACTTTTTTTCTAATTTCATACTTAACCTTTTAAATGTTTTTTGTTTATAAATCACTAGTTTGAACACCGATTGACATAACCTTTTGTTTACATTTTGCCTTTTCTCTCCTCTCAGCGCTGCTGCTCTACTGCTCTTTTTCTCTCTGCTGCAACTAGCACTGCGTTGCGTTGCAGTTTTTGACTTCTCTATTGACTTTTTTTGGTTATTTCTTTGTAAAAATTTCTAAAATTTACTAAAAATAGTTAAAATTAAAAACCTTTAATGGGTTTCTCAGCAAACTTGCAGTTAATCTTGTACTCGCCTGGGGCGGGTGGGACATACGTCACGCCTACCGTGCCGTCTTTGTTGTCTTTG